TGCTTTGCGGTAACTCCCGTGAGGCTCTGGCGGTGCTCGCGCTGTACAGGGCTCGTACTCGGAGTGGACTAGCCTGTGTAGGAATGGCACTGGGAGTATACAGGGTTGCATTGAAATGGAGCTGGGGGCATTCAGGGTGGTATAAAATACTGGGACTATACAGCTACTCGGAGTGCACAGGGCTATATAGGGATGGTGCTGGGACGATACAGGGGTGTATAGGGATGGTACTGGGACTATACGGATGGTACTGGGACTACACAGGGCTGTACAGGAATGGTGCTGGGACTATACAGAGATGTATTGGGATGGAACTGGGACTATACACAGCTGCATGGGGATGGTACTGGGCGCAGCTGCTGGGATGCATCCCGGGGCAGAAGAAAACACCAGAAACCAACGAAAACGCCCGAAAACCTGAAAACCTCCCACTGGACGGGTGGTGATGGGGGGTGACCTACAAAGGGGGGTGAAGAAAAGGACCACCCCGTTTGGGAGCCAGCCACAGGCCCAAGAGGGGCCCAAAAGGGCCCGAAAGGGCCCCTTTCAGGGCCTTCTCTCCACCCCCCATCCAGGTCACCCCCTATTACCATCCGCCCGACCCTTGCTGACTCACCACGCGGTGTGGTCACCGCTCGGCGGCCAGCGAGGGGGGGACGTGGGAAGGAGAAGGCCTCCTCAGAACGCTCGAAAGTCCCCCTGCCTTCTGGGACGGTTTCCAAGCCTTCTCCGAAGACTCAAAACGACCTCTCGAAGGCCCGCGGGCTTCCGAGAAGTCCCGCCGCCTTCTGCGAAGGGCCTTCTCCTTCTCGCCTCCTCCCCCTCGTCCGCCGCCACACTGGGTCGTTTGGGTAGAGGGCCACATGCGAAACCGACCCCCTACCCACGATTTCTGAGGGGGAGGGTGGGGTTCACTTCGCTCGGGAGCTCCCGAGCGAAGTGAACGTATGTGGCCCCCTATTGGTGTCGCTCGGGGGGAGGGTTCGCATGTGGCCCCCTATGGGGGGCGCCCGACCATGAAGCGACTCCCAAGCTCCCGGGTGGGCGCTTTCTGGCCATGCCGCTCGGGAAACGATGCGCCACAAGATTCGGCGCCGCATGCTCGGGTCTGGCGGGAGTCTCCGACGGAGGTACCTCGTGCCAGCATGTCTTCACTAGGGGGCCACCTGCGAACCCTACCCCTACCCCCCACGATTTTTGAGGGGTAGGGTGGGGTTCACTTTGTTCGAGAGCTCCCGAGCGAAGTGAACCCCACCCTCCCCCTCAAAAATCGTGGGGGGTAGGGGCGGGGTTGGGGCAGGGTTCGCAGGTGGCCCCCTATTCACGTGCGCCCCACGGGGTCCCCGGCAGCCGACCTCACGCTGTGCGGCACGCCTCATGGTGGCCCCCAGGGCTGCCGAGGCGCGGAGGCAGGCAAGGCCGCCCCGGAGCGGCCCGCTGCACGGAGGAGAGGCCCCCGGCTCCGCAGAGGCCGCGCGTCGGCGCGGCGCGGCGGCGCGGGGAGGCGCGCGGTCGCCTGCGCGCGCCTGCCTGTGAGGTCGGGGAGTGCGGAGGAACTCCTCCTCCTCCTCCTCCTCTCCCCCTCCTCCCCCTCCTCTCCTCCTCCTCCTCCCCTCTTCCTCCTCCTCCTCCTCTCCTCCTCTCCCTCCTCATCCTCCTCCTCCTCCTCCTCCTCCTCCTCCTCCTCCTCCTCCTCCTCCTCCCCCTCCCCCTCATCCTCCCTTCCGCCTCGTCCTCCTCCTTTCCTCCTCCTTTCCTCCTCCTCCTTCTCATCCTCCTCCTGAAGAGGAACACAGCCGAGCACAAAATCAAGAGAAAGTGTTGGTCACCCAAAACGGGTATGAAACAACATGGGCACGATGCCCGACAACAACTGTCCCAAACCGTTACCGTCCGCTGCAGGGCAGGCAGCCTTCTGTCTCTTATGGACAGCGTCCGCGGCGGCGTGGACAGCGAGTCCTGTTCCAAATCAGAAGGAACTGCTGTTGGGCGGCGTACCCATTATTTCCATACCTTCCTCGTTCGCTCCGAAGCCTTATCATGTCAGAAACCTGGGCTAACTTCCCGGACGTCTCGTGAATACAAGCCTGGGCCAATGCCTGCTGTTGACGTTGCAGGCAACCGAACTCAAGAAACTGGACCAGCTTCCCGGCAAATCGGCTAAGAAACGCTGGCCGAACTGTTCGTGAGGTGTCTTAATCTGATGCTCGGCTGTAGAAGAACAAACGGCATTAACCATCGACCCCCGTGGACCCCCGTGTGGTCCCTTGGCGCCACCCCGAGGGAAGGGCCTTGCTTGTCTGGCGTTCGCCGCAGACGTCGCCAGCCCTGAGAAATAGGAGAAGAAACATCTGCATGAACAGAAGTTGCCGGGGGGCCTACGCCGACGTCTTGGACCCACGCGGACCTCCAAGAGATCCACGCGGACCTCGGCTGCTCTTGAACGATCCGCCCTCTTCCCACGACGTTCCCGTCCCCCAGCCCGCCGCGTCGGGGCTGCCTCCTGGATGCCCTTCATCTCCTCCACGCGCAGAGCCGACCGCTGGGTCCACTCGGCGTGCTTCGCCTGAACGGTGGACGCGTAGCAGAGAAAGACACCGCTCGGCGACGAGTGACGGCGGCGACGGCGATGCTGGGTTGGCACCAAGAGTCCAGGCAGGACACTCCAGGGATCAGAGAGGTGGCACTGCGATGGAGCCGCTTCGGTGTGATATTCTACGGCCATACATCATGCACTAGTCCCACCAGGCTGGCAGTCTTCGTGGGGGGCCTGCGGAGTGTGCACGCCATTCCTACATTTGGGCGGGTTTGAGGCCTCCTGTGGGCCTTGCATGGGCCTGTTTGGAAGCCTCTGGTGCCGTCCAGGGGGCACCAACTGGGCGCGTCTTGGGCATCTCTTGGGGTGCCTCTTAGAGCCGTCTTGGGGCCTCTTTGCCGCTCTGTTGGGCCGTCTTGGGATGATCTTTGGGGCGTCTTGGAGGCGCCTCGGGCCCTGGTATGGGCGTCTTCCAGCCATCTTTGGCCGACCTAGAAACTGCCTTGTCTGATCAGGTCTTGTCCCGATTTGCCTTGTCTCGACTCGTCGTGCATTGTGTTGTCGCATCTTGTGCTGCCGACTTGGGCCGTCTTGGAGGCCGATCAGGCAACCACAGGGTCCATGATCTCCAGATTTCGTAATAAAAGGGAGGGGGTCTCAACCCTCCCAGACGAGAAGTTTTAGACCCCCCCCGTGGGAGAACCCTTCAAAACATCGTCCCCAGACCACCCCAGGCCCTCCAAGATAGCCTGGAAGAGACCCCCCCCGAAACGAGTGTCCCTCCCTTGTATTACGAAATCTGGAGTACGCTGGTCCTGTCTCCAGCGGCGACTGGAGGGGTCCGCTGGCTAGCATTGGGGAACTCCCTCCCCTGGGTCGGACGGGGGTGGCCGACATTGTTCCTCCAAGGTGATGGCCTGGGGGCCCAAGCTGGCCTCCAAGGTGATGGCCAGAGACAGCTAGCCCAAGACGGACCAAGATGACGTCACACGAGCCTCCAAGGTGCACCAATACCACCACACAACGGATCCAAGTGGCACCGGCGCTTCCCAAGACCGCCCCCGAGAGGCCAGCATGGCATCGTGGCTTCCGGTGGGCCCTTACGGTCTCAAGATCGCGTAAGGGGAGCCCCAAGAGGAGCCCAGGAGGGTGTCAAGACGGTCCCAAGAAGAGCGCTCCGAGAGAGAGCCAAGAGGCGAGCTGTTTTGCTCTGACGAAGGGGGCGCTAAGTGACGCCACCGTCTTCTCTGATCGATGTCCTCCCAGACGCCCCCCTCCGCATAAAGAAGGCCGACATACTCCCAGATCCCAAGGCAACCCCAAGAGGCAGAACGAGAGCAAAAAGGGGTCCCACGGTTGCCACATAATGGCCCAGAAGCGACGCCCCCGTCGGCGTGTGTGAGAAGGAGTCCTGTGTTGTCGTCAACGTGTGGTCCTGGAGACGCTTTTCCACTCGAAGATCTCCCCCCATTCCCTGCGACTTGATGCCATTTTAAAAAAGCACGCGTGCGACCATATCTGCTAAACAAAAAAGATACCAGCGATGGTTCGGCGTGAGCCTCATGATCTAGATGGCCAAGTCGCAAGGTGCCCTCATCTTGGCAATCCCAGTCAAGTGTGGCATGGCGAATTGATGCGCGCTGCGTCGGGCACTCGGGGAGGATCGGACTGGATACACTATGCACGGGTCTTGGCTCGTCAGGGAAAGCGGAACAATGATCTGGTTGGGCAGGGTGATCCTGCAAGATCCGGCGCTCCGATTGACCCTCGCTTGCACTGACCCCCGTCTCTTCAGCCCCCGCCCCGTCCTTGGTTCCGGGCAAGGGGGGTCTTTCCTCATGGGGTCGCAAGCAAAAACATGGAATGGTTAATGCTGTGGCCCATGGGGCGTAGCCCCTCCTGCCGACCACTGATGCCAGATCCAACGCAGTCTGCCCCCCTCCAGGACGATAAATACAGCACGAGCGATTGCACGGACCCTTGCGCACACTCTCGAGACCCCCTCTGCAAAGGACCCATTCGCCCGAATCTGACGTCCGAACTGACTACCTACCAGACCACCCCAACCCAACCCGAAGACCCGAATTTGACCCGAAATTCGGGTTGGGGGGGGGTACAGGTTCCATGTGTTTGTTTTTTCAACGTTCCCCGACCCCCCCCAACCGGAAATGGAGGGCAAATTGAAGCCTTCGGGTTGGGTAGGGGTGGTTTGGTGGGTGGAGACGAACGGGGCCGCCCCCGGCGCGCCTCGCAAGCCTTCGCGGTGACGTCGAAAAAGGCAATGTCGGCCTCCATCTGCGCCTGGGCCGGCTCGGGGCGCGGCAGGAGGCGGCCGGCCCCGCGCGGGGGGGGGGTCCTCCTCGTCCTCCTCCTCCTCCTCCTCCTCCTCGTCCTCCTCGTCCTCCTCGTCCTCCTCGTCCTCCTCGTCCTCCTCCTCCTCCTCCTACCTCCTCCTCCTCCTCCTTCTCCTCCTCCTGCTGCGCTGGAGGCCTCCTGGGTGTCTCCCACCTTCGGCGGCGAGCCAGCCAGGGGGCCAGAGGGGGCCCTACAGGGCCCCATTCAGGGCCCTTTCGGCCCCCTTCAGTTGGGGAACAGCGACAGTCGTACGTTTGCTCAAGTTGTGTGGTCAGCAAACTCCTTAGATTCACTTTGGCTACTCAAGGCGGACAGAGATCGCATAGACATTTGTCATTGCAGGCGTTTGCGAAACCCACGTGCGTACTATTCGCGCGTATCTTACACAAGCGTCTTGGAAAGGGCAGGCTCCAAGCCGTTGTCGCAGTTCTGATACGACAAACATACAAAGTTATACAAACAAATCGCTGCTCAATCAAACAGTTCTCTATTGAAACAGCTTGTATGCAACGCGTGTGGCTCCCCGAGGAATCAGGCTCTTCGCCGGCACAGAGGCCGCCCAAGAACAACAGTGGGCAAACGAAGTGTACGCAAAGGTATAGATCCATGTTTGACCGCATGCCGTTGCATCACATCATCGTCTTTGCATCGCGTTTGGCGGTCTGCCTCCGGGACGCGTTTGGCGCACCAACATAATGTTAAGCCAATGCATTGCCCACGCGCCCACAGGACGCACGGCTTAGTTATCTGTTTCTTTCTCTCTCTCTCTCTCTTTCTCTCTTTGTTTCTCTCTCTCTCTCTCTCTCTCTCTCTCTCTCTCTTTTTCTCCCCTCATCCCCCATCTAGGTCACCCCCCAATGGCACCCGCCCGACCCCAATGACTCACTCGGCGGCGAGCGAGGGGGGCAAGTGGGAAGGAGAAGGACTTCTCAGAAAATTCGAAAGTCCCCCAGCCTTCTGAAAAGTGTTTTAAGTCCTCCCCAAGAGCACAATAAACTTCTCTGAGGGCCAGAGCGCTTCTGAGAAGCCCCGCCGCCTTCAGAGAAGGCCTTTTTCGTGTCATTCCCCCCCTCGCTCGCCGCCGGCACATGGGATCCAGGTAAATGGGGTCGGAGAATAGCGCCACATCGCCAATGTTTCGACGATGCATTGGCGATCTACGACGACGCATCGGCGATGCGTCGGCGATGTCGGCGCGGAGAAAGTTGGAATCCACATCGAGCTGCATCGCCGATGCAGCGTCGATGCGGAGCGGAATCTTCGACCCCACAAACGCCACCATGGATTATACAGGCCGTGGATCTGAAGCGCGGTTGCCAGATCCATGGGATCAGGGAATAATGTCCCCAAGAGGCCCCAAGAGGCTTTCCGCAGGCGCCCGTGACAGTGGCTGGATGAGCACTTGGAGCCAACACCCCAGATGGCAGCATCGCGAAGCAGGAGTGGCCAGTGGCCACGACGCCGTCCAGGATGGCAGCACGTCTGGAGAAGGGAGTGTCCGGGGGGGGGGGGCACGTGACGGCGAGCATCTCCAAGGCGGGAGCGTGACGGCCTGCCAGCGCCTGCGGAGAGCCCAAACTCTCAAGTAGCGCGCTGCGTGCACTCCGGACCTCCACCCCGCGCGAAGCGAGAGGCGCCTGCGGGGCCGGGGAACGGGCCCCTGCGACACCGGAGGCCAGTGGCGCTCGGCCTGGCGACGGAGCGCGCCGCCTCTGCACGGCAACGGGAATCCACCGCTGGAGCCGAGGCCGACTGGGGGCCCGCTCGACGGGACGGCGAGACCCCCTCGAGGCCTCTCCGGGCGCCCTTTCGGGAGCCACCCTGGGCCCGCGTGGTCTCGCGTGGTCCGGGGGCGACCAAGAGGAGGGCGCCCAAGAGGGGGGGGCGCGAATCATGGCCGGCGGCATGTGCGCGGCCCAGGGAGGGGGGGCAGGGACGTCATGTAATTCGCCCGCCCAACGGGCCAGAGGCGTGCTAAGATCTCCTGTAACTACTTAACAATTTGTTTCGTTCGCGCGCGAGGGGCGGCCCCTGGGGGGCCCCGGACGAAAAGCACCCCGGCCGATCCCCTGCTGACCCCCCGGCGATCCCAAGGGGGGAGGCGATTTTTCGCCACCCCTCACGAGGAACATGGCCTCCGATGGGGGGGGCTGCCAACGACTATTCCCTCTCCCGCCCCAAGGGCCCCTCAAGAGCCCCCCAAGAGGCCCCAGGGGAGCCCAATGCGCCGCCAAGGAGCCCCAAGACGCTCCCAAGAAGCCTCCAAAAAAACCCTAAGACGGCCCCAAGAGGCCCCAAACAGCGCTCCGGGGACGGCGGAATGAGCGAAGCGATCCGCCGCCCCACCGGGAACGGCGTGCGAGATCCGCGCCGCACGGTCTGCACGAACTCAGTCCCCTCAATCTGCGCGCGCACGAACTCCTCGTACCAATACCCATTCCTCAGAGCCCTTGCAACCCGGATCCGGGGGCCCTCCCCGCGGCCTGCTCATTCCGCCGGCCCGGGGGCCCACAGCTGCGGAATGAGCGCTCTTTGGCCATCACTTTCGCTGCAGAACACACCTCGTTGGAAATGTTCGTCTTCAAGGCGCCGCCGGCCTCTCTCAGAGGCCTCTCTGGGAGCTCACAGACTCGATGTTGGAGGCCTCCAGACGCTCTCCTGGGGCTATCTTGGCCGTCCTCCAAGCCATTTTGGTCCAGCCTGGCAGCCCGCCCACCTCTCCTCGGCCCACTTCGACTACAAAAAACCAACACGCAAAAAACATTGCAAAACACCTAAAAAAGATGTCCATTCTGGTCTTGTCGAGCCTCTACTCTTGCCTCGTTTCGAGCTCACGTACGTCTTCGCGGGCTCTTGGAAGCACGTTGGAATCAGCGGGCGCTCTCTGCGGCTGTCCTCCACGCCTCCCGACCCCGGCCCGGGCCGTCTGGCAGCATTTTTGGGGTTTTCTTGGGCCGTCCTGGGCGCGCCCAGGGGGTCCCCGGAGTCCATTTTGAGGCCCCCAAACTAACTCGGATCTCGTTTGTACGCCTCTCCGTATGCCTCCTCCTGTCGTCCACACTTTTGCACACCCTCAGGCGTCCTTTTAAAATCATTGTCAGACTCTCTTACGGCTTTCTGGCGTTTTTTGTAATCATTTTCCGGCTCTCTTGGGGCTTTCTGAGAGCCTTTAAGACCCCACTTTCTCCCACCCCCGCTACATCCCGATTTGCCCCCCACGCAACCTCCGCGTTCCAACAAAAAATGGGGCGGCGGTGTCTGCCCCCTCAGGGGCGTTCAGTTAAATAAGCAGATGCGCCATGAAATCTGCGAAACTATCATGACCCCCGCCATGATATCCATCCCCCCCCCTCCTAGTCATCCCCCTCCCCCTCGTTGCCGCCCCCGAGTAGTGACGGGCCCTCCTCCCCGTAGCCCTCCCGCAGGCCGGGGGGGGGGGGGCCCGTAGGCGCGAGGAGGGCGAGCGCCTCGGTCTCGTCGTACAGCTGGGTCTCGTCGGCGAGGGTGGACTCCTTCTCGGCCTCGGCGAGCGGCGGGGCGGCAGGCAGGAACCTCCCTCACGCGGCCGACGGTGAGGGGAGGAGGGAAGAAGAAGGGATGAGGGGAGAAATAAGGATAAAACAGAGGAGGGTTCATGCTCCTCACCCTTCCCTCCCTTGCCCCCCCCCCCCTCCCCCCAAGTTGCTCCTCCTTCCCTCCTACCCTCCTCCTCCTCCTCCTCCTTCTCCTCCCTCCCTCCTCATCCTTCCTCCCTCCTCATCCTCCCTCCTCCTCCCTACTCCCGCTCATCCCTCCTCCATCCCCCTCCTCGGTCCTCCCCCTCCTCCGTCCTACCCCTCCTCCTCATCCTCACGCTCCTCATCTCCTATTCCTCCTGCCTCCCCCCGCGCTCGTCATCTCTCCTGCTCCCTTCCCCGTCATCACCCCTCCCTCCACAATGCTCGCACCTCCCTCATCCTCCCCCTCTCCCTCCTATCTTCGTCCTCCACTCCCCCCTCCTATTCCTCCCCTCCTCCACTCCCCCCTCCTACTCCTCCCCTCCTGTCTTCATCCTCCCCTCCTGTCTTCATCCTCCCCTCCCCCCTCCTATGCCTCCCCTCCTCCCCAGAGCCGCCAAAAACCACAGGACGCACCTCGTCCTCCTGCCCACGCGTCGCCGCCCTGGAGAGAAATCACACCTCCCCGGCTCACACCGCGCAGCGCAGCGATCGTCGCGCACCCGCGGATGAAACAGAGCAGCGTCGCCTCGAATCTGCTCCAAAGCATCCCTCCTCCTCCTCCTCCTCAACCTCCTCCTCCTCGTCCTCCTCCTCCTCCTCCTCCTCCTCCTCCTCCTCCTCCTCCTCCCACTCCTAGCCCTTTCGATCAGGGTCGGCGGCACCGGCCGTCAGGCCTCTCCAATCTGCTCAAAAGCATCCCTGGACTCGTCCCTGCCTGGGTCCGCCCTGACAGGTGTTCGGAGCTGCGTCGAGCCACGTGCACACCCAGGTGGTGTTCCTGTGGATGCCTATGCGTGACAGGCGTGGCAGCCCGGCCGTGTGCACCGCACACAGTGCATGCTTGAAGAGGATCGGGGCCGAGGGGGCGAGAGCACGGCCATGTGCACAGCAGTGGAATATCTACCACAGCTCGCGGCCGTGTGACAGCGGTTCGAGCACGGCCATGTGCACCCGAGCGTACTCGTAACAGGGGGGCGTGACCGTGTGACAGTGGCAAGAGCACGGCCGTGTGCGCCGAAGTGTGCTTCTTTCGGGGGCTGCCCAGACGGGGGCGTCCAAGAGGGGGGGCGCAAATCATGGCCAGCGGCATGTGCGCGACCCAGGGGGGGGGGGGGGCCAAGAACGCAATGAATTAAGCCGTCCCCGATTCATATAATATACGTCCAGGCCAAAAATGTAGCCGTCACTTGTGAGGAATCCTCGGGCGAAACGGCTGCCCGCACCAGCGTTCTCGGGCTTCCCCTTGTGGGACTCCTCTTCCACTATGAGAGCCCCTCGCGAAACGCGATTCGAGAATCACAGGAACGATGATCGGGGAGGAATTACCAGCCTGGAACATATCCCTATTCCTATGCTGGGCATCGCCTCATCACGATGCCGACCTTAGGGATTCCCTCCTTTGTTGCTGAGGGCGCATCCCTAAGATTGTCATCGCCTTTTCGCGTGTCAATCTTCGCGTGTCAATATTAGGGATAGGGACAAGTTCAAGGCTGGTGAAGGAAGAGGAATGACCCTGGTTATGTGAGCGCTCCTGCGGGTGACCCTTGAGACAAATAGGGGACACAGCCAAAGCCTTGCCTGAAAGAACATCGGGTAAGGACCGATGCCCCTATTGAGCCTCGGCTGTGCATACTTCACTAGATGCACGAGAAGCGCCAGGGGGAATACAATGGAAGGACCCAAGCAACTTCTAGCTCTTTCCGAGACCTCAAGATCACCGTAGCCCAAATGTTGGACTGGACAGAATCAGGCGAGAGGACCAGGTGTCAGTGCGATGCCTTGAGCTCCTCCTTGGCCGCTTTCTCCGCCTTCCAGTTGTTGGCCTGCTCGACCAGAGTGGCGATGAGACCCTCGAACTGGCGGTTCTGGTCGGCCTGCTGGCAATGCAATGAATGAGTAAAAGACCGACCTGGCATCACTTGAGACGAGAGGCTTTGTTTTGGACGTTGGTAAGAGTCAAGCGCTACTCCCGAACAATGGCACAGAGAAGAGCAGGGACCGAACGAGGGCCCGAAAGACGGCGAACGAGGCGAGGGCCACAGAAAGACACCACGGCGGAGAAACAGTGACCGAGCGACACAACCCTGGCCCGAAAACCCGAGGGGACAGAGCAGACAATCGCAAGTCCGACATGAGATGAGCGGAAAGTTGTGGCGAGTGAAGACGCAGCCGAGCGCTGCATGCAAACACCACACCGCCGCGCTCTCAGCACGCAGGCGTGCATCTCGCCCATGCTCCTGTTGTTCAAGGGCTGCTGCGCCAGGCGGCACATGACTGACCCCGAAAGCGAGGCCGAGATAGGGGGCACCGAAAGGCACCGATACCGCCACTCCCCGGACCGGGGAAAACGAAGGAAGGGTATCGGCATCGGTGCCTTTCCTCCTCCGACGAGATGCGCTCGTCTGTACAACCCGAGTCCGGGCGTCTCTCCGCCGTCTCTTTCTGCCAGGGAAGCCAACGGTGCGCCCATGCAGGAGGCCAAACTGGGCGGGCCTCCCCAGAAGGCTCAAAGACGGCACCCAACTTCTGAGCCCTCTGCGAAGCCCCGCCGCCGTCCGAGAAGGCCTGCCCCCCATTTTGCTCACCCCATGGGCGAGCCGCCGAGGAGACACACCGTCGCTTGGGGAAACCAAGAAGTACCGATACCGATACCGATACTCCCCGGACAACTCCTGCGGCGCGTTCTGACCAGAACTCCGAGGCGAATCCAGCGGTGGCGACGAGGGCATCCCAGGAGGCCGAAAAGGGGGTCAACGAGAGAAGGGTAGCGGTATGGGTACCGTTTCCTACGCTGGTCGCCTGTCGTCTTCACGTCCGAGATCCGCCGTCTGGCGCCTGTCGCCCCCGTTCTCCACGGTCCGTCTCCGTGTAAAGAACCCCTCTCAGCCGCCTGTCGCCCGCACGATTACGACGGCGGCCGACCAGACGCAGTGACCCGACAGAGTCTCGATCCCAACGCCGTCCACGTCGACACCAACACCGAAAACCCACCGAAACGACGGCGAAACCAAATCCGACCGAAATCGATAGGCCGCAAGCAGCCTGAACGTCCACAGCCGCGCAGCAAGGAACGAAGCAGCAACCTATCGGACTGGACCGACCGAACGCGACCGACTGCGACGCGGCCGAACCGACCTAACCGTGGACCCCCTTGAATCCGCCACTCTGCCCGTTGCACAGCGGGGAATGTCACAAGGCTTGCTGGTTGCCTGGTAGGCGTCCTTGCGCTTCCCTGAAACGGCAAACATGGCCTCTGTGAGAGCCAAAGGTCGCCTCAAAGCAAGCAACCGCCCCGAGACAATGCAAAAGGCTCCAAGACCTATCGAAGATGCCCCAACAAGCCTCTACGAGACGCAGAAGCACACAAGCAGGCCTCTGGCGAAAGCCTCACATGCAAAACACATTACAAACAAAGGGCGGCGAACATATCTGGTGTACGAAGCTCTTCGGCGTCCATCGTATCAGTCTCTGTGGATGCCAGGACACAGGACACTCTAACAATCAGATCATTGATATAAAAGTATGTCCATAATGTTAGAAACATGTCCTAAACATGTATAAAGCATGTGTTTCACATGTTTCACACCACATTTTTAGACATCTGGAAATTATTTGGCAACACGCTTCCTCTCCATGGATCACCGTTCACAAGTGTCGGGAAACCCTCAGAAGGCCTCAAGACGCCCCCCCCCCTCCACCAAAAACAGCCCAGGGAATCCCCAAGAGGACTCGACCCGCCCAGAGGAATCCAGGGTGGTTCGCCAGAGCCTCTTCGGGAGAGCTCGGTAGAATTAGGGCGGGCATGCCCTCTACAGGAGGAATATTCAGAAGCAGCACAACGACCAGTCCGGGGACAGAGTGTTCGACTATTGCTGTGTGTATGCTGGTGT